CGGAAGCCTTGTCAACCTGTTTAGTTGCTGTTCTGAATTCGATTCTAATTAAAGAGGGGTAACAAAAGGGTAAAACCACTAATGAGATAGAGATTAGAATAATTAATTAGGCATAGGCATGATGGATCTATTGGACCACAAAATTTCTAGTGACAATAGACTTTCTTGCGTATAATGTTCTGATTCTGGGCGTCATTGAATTCTTGTTGTAAATCCCTTAAAGTCAAGTACGAACGAAATTATTTTGTCTTAGCAGGTTTATGCAATTACATTTTCTTTTTATTTTGTTATGTACTATAAATATATGTTTTGCTTACTCCCCTTCCTCATTCGCTCACTTTATCCATGAGAACTTAGCTATCTATTAACATACAACGCAAACACAACATCATCTGTATACCCCTACCGCTCGCCTATTATCATGCATACATATATCTATACTCCGTTGCCCTTACCCACTTGCCTCCGCTCACCACCGCTTTCGCTGCATCCATCGTTCACCCACTACCTTCACCAAATGCACAGAACCGTTTGCTCCTCTTTACTTGTTTTCTTTAATTTTTTGCCTTAGTTTTCTTTTCGGCTCGCTTGGCAGCGAGCCCCCTTTCTGCTTTTCGTTGCATGTCACATGTATTGCAATTCTTGATTTTTAATGTTGCTACTTAAAATCTATGTGTTCCACCTGGAAACTCACCAGTAAAATAGTATAAAAAATTGTGATATTGCGATTAAGGGTCAACAACTTCATCTTCATTATCTATATCTGAACATGTCCAATAATACATATTCCATTTAAGAAACTCATAAGAAATTCCCTATTTTAAATTTTAAGTCATCAAATCACGTGTATCAATAGACTACTCATGTCAACAATGTGCAAATTATTTTTCGTAAGCCTTATTGAAAGAACTCTAGAGTTAAGCGTGCTTGCTTTAGAGTAATTTGAGAATGGGTGACCTCTTGGGAAGTCTCTAAGGGTGCGCGTGAGTGAGGATAGAAGCGCGCTAGAAGGACTCGTGTTGACTTGTGGTGCCACTCTGATCTTGACACACTCGACTTTGCGTGGCTTACGGGCCGGGGTGTCACAGTTGGTATCATAGCCGACCTTTGACAGCCCACAGTCGTTGACCTGACTGTTGAGGGGCCTAGCAGTTGACGATTCTTGGGGTGCAATGTGGACATTGCATTCTAAAGTGGGGGAAAATATAATACCCCCGGAGTTGGACCGTTGCTTGGTCAACTCCCGTGTGTGGATGAGCTGGTGTCAGGCCATCCGAGGTTGAATAGTAATTAAATAGATTGAATAGACTATTCATGTCAACAATGTGCACATTTATTTTCGGAACCCTACTGAAAGAACTCTAGAGTTAAGCGTACTTACTCTAAAGTAATTTGAGAATGGGTAACCCCCTGTGAATTCTCCCAAGATACGAGTAAATGAGGACAGAAATGTGCTGAAAAGACTCGTGTTGACTTTTAGGGACACTCTGCAATTTCGACACACCCGGTTTTGCGTGGCTTGCGGTCCGGGGTGTCACAACAACAGTGAGGACAGCTTCCCCCCGAAAACCTATCACGACAAGAGACAGACAAAAAGGATACACAAAAAATATCTATAATGTGACGATGTTTGCGTTCAACGCGACCATTTTGTGGGGAGGTGTATGGACAGTAACCCTGAATCAATGTACCTTGAGCAGAGAAAAAACTTAACAATGTAGAATCTTTATATTCAAGAGCATTATCAGTATAGAAGGTCTGTATGGGACAGGAAAATTGAGTTCTAATCATTTGAGCAAATTGGATGTATGTCTGAGGTAATTCTAAGTGGTGTTTCAAAAAATATATCCATGTAAAATGGGATTAATTATCTTTGAAAGTGGTATAACGACACTTACTTAATGATAAGGCTGATTGTTTTCCCAAATGATAGTTGATAACTCTTGATTTTGTCATATTTTATAGCTTATATTTATTTCATTAATTATTTATTTATGTCGAATTTTAGTATTATTTATATTAATTTATTCTAATAATTGTATTTATTGTATTTTGTGTGTAAAATATTAATTTATTAAATTTTAAGTATATTTTATAATTATTTAGGGGTATAAATTAAACTAAATAATTTGTTCCTTGAATTATATTTTTTAAGCATTATTTATGTGTTATTTAACTATTTAATTTTGGTTAAATTATTTTATTTAGTATATATATATATTTAAATAACTATTTATAAGGTGTGTCATATTTATGCAGGTGAAATAATGCTCTAAAATTTGTTTGGGAGTAAAAAATTGGCCAAAAAGAGCAAAAGAATAGCTTCAAGAGTAAAAAACAACCGTCGGCGTGAAAGTCAACAAAAGTCAACGGTCAACACATAAAAGTCAACGTGCGAAAGTCAAAGCCAACCATTGACATGGAATCTGAGCGGCGGCTGGCGCGGAATCCGAGCGACGGCTGCATAGAAGTAAGCGAGCGGCGGTTGTGCGGAAGACAGTGAACGCGGATTCCGTGAGCGACGGCTGCTTTATGAGCGCGGAATTCATGACCGAATTAAAAAGCGAGGGAGCGCGGAATCTGAGTGGCGGCCGGCGGATGCACGGAAAGCAACGGCAGCGGCTACATCTATGAGCACGGAAATTGTGAGCGGAGTGAAAATCTCTGCATGGAGGTGAGCGAAGCGGCGGCTGTGTGGAAAACAAACAGCGGGCTACACAGAAAGCGAACGAAAATTGCACGGAAATTTGAGCGAAGAGGAATTTTATGTCAATTAATCCGTGAGCAGCAGTTGCATTTATGAGCGCAGAAACTTTGGCGGGGAAGTGAGCGAAGTGATGCCGCGCGGAAAGCGAGCGCCGGCTGTGTGGAAATTTGAGCAAGCGACGGCTGCATTTATTGCCGCTGGGTCAGTGGCTACATTTATTGCCTAGGCTCCCTCAACTCTTACATTTACTGCACTCTCCCAACTCTGTATTTACTGCACTCTCCCAGCTCTCTTAATTGAATTTCTGCACTATTTCTTAGTCATTTTTTTTGTTGTTTTGTATATAATTTTATTATAGAACCTTTTAGAAAATAAGTAGTTATTTATGGTTATTTTTAGAGGTAGTTAGTAGCTATTTTTAGAAGTAGTTATTTATGGACGGTTGTAATCGCGAAGCTTCTAGAAACATTTCCCCTATAAATATCCCCTCTAATTGTATATTATATGCACCCATCATATATACACAATCATATACATAATCATACACAATCCATCATTTCATACACTTCATTTTCTCTATTTCATCTCCTCCATATTTTTATCTAGTTTAATAATAAGAGATTTTTTCGGTTTTGTGTTGCGAACAAACTGATTTTCTCTTCTTTTTTTTTCTTTTAATTCCAACATATTATTTTAGCTAATAACATTCCTATAACACTTTTCCACTTCACCTTCACCAAAATATTCCATGTTCGATTTGAATTGTTCAAGTTAGATTTCGAAAATGTTGCGGAAGAGCGACAGAAGAATCGACTATTTCAGCTAGTTTCGCATCGTATTCGTTAACAGATTCTAGGTAGTTCAATGTAGCTAAGTAAGCGGGAGCCTTGTCGATCTGCTTAGTTGTTGTTCTGAATTCGATTCTAATTAAAGAGAGGTATCAGAGGGGTAGAGTCGCTAGCGGAACGGTTGGAAGAATAATTCATGGGGTATATGAGCTTGTGTATTGGGTCACAGAAATGTCCAGTGACAACGGCTTTTCTTTCAAATAATGTTCTTTGCCGTGTATCGCTGAAGCCTCGTTGTAAATCCCCTAAGGTCAAGTACCAACCGAGTTGAGATTCGAGCTTAAACGAACAAATGTGATCACACTCCTTCCTCCGAGCCACCCCACAATTATACATATATTTTTCGCTATCACACCATCATCATCCTGCTCATTTCAGCCAAGGAAATTTAGCCATTAAGGAACGCAAAAGTCAGATACAAACGTCTCGCTCCATCCTTTTTGAGATACGTACATTTTAGCACTTTTTAGTTATATTTAATTTCTGCAATTTATCTTTTCAGTTTTTTCGATCGCCTTAACTCATTGCTCTTTTTCTAATTAAATATAGGATATTCGCATATTCTCTGAGTTCGACCCGGACACTCACCGGTTAAAGAGATTTTTTATTACTACACGAATACGCATGACACTATTTTCATTTTATACATATATAATTTTTGTATCTTAAAAAGATATTTTTTTTAAATCTCCCAGAAATCTTCAATCAAATTTTGGCGTTTTTGTCGGGGAATAAGCGTAGTATCTTTGTTTTAATTGAAAAATATTTAGTTTAATGCTAATTTAATTTTAATATTGAATTTTTTATTTTATTTTGAACCTCTAATCTATCGGCGGTATAATTTGTAGGTTTCGAGTGTGCGATATCCTTCAAGGATCAAACCTGCGCGACATTTATCTTCTAGAAAAAAATTCAAAAAATTTAAAAAAAAAAAAAAATCTGCAGCAGTGTCTTTGCCTCTCCTCTCTGCTCTGTGTCATTTCACTTTTTCTTCTATACATAATAATAATAAATAAATAATATTAGTAATAATAATAATAACTGTAATAATAACTAATATTAATCATAATTTTGTGCTTATTCAGGACTTACACGATGTCCTTGTGAACTCCGCTAGCAAGTGGTGACTCGAAGCCCTCTTTACACCGCTGCTGCTGAGATGTGAAGGCCGCTGTCTTCTCTAGCCGTTGGAAGCCACCGCTAGCCAAGCGGCGAAAACAAGAGGGAGAAGTAAGCGGGTCTGCAAACAAAGCCAATTTCAAAAAAGTGCAGCGAAGCGACCGTAAGTAAAGCAGTGCAGACTAGCCCCTCTTGGAAGCGAAGCAGATAATTTATTCTTCTCTATTTAGGGCAAAAATTTATTTCCTTATGCGACACCTAAAAAAATATTCCAATTTCTCATAATTCAATTCTTTGCGTCATGAATAAATAAATTTTAGGTAAGAATCAATTTATATATATTTATTTATATATTTTCCTCTTTTTCTTTACCATTTTCTTTCTCTCCGTCTACTCTCCCTCTAGACACCCAATTCTTTTTCCCCTAAAATTTTTCGCCTTTTCAGTAAGCCCTAGCTTGCAATCTCTTCCTTCCGTCATCTTCATCTTCTATTTTTAAAGAAAAGTATGAATTTCACACCCGATTTTCTTTCAATTTCGTCCAACCCTAATCCGTAAATTCCCCATATTTCTTTACCGTAACCTCTTTTCTCCCACCGACGACGATGAAGCCAACCGCACCACTTGCTCCAATTCCAACTGCCTACGAATCCACTGGTAAATATCGGAAGAAAGGTTGTATTACTCAATTCCACCTTCTCTTGCCTATTTTCATCGAATTTCTTAATTTCGAACATAATACTAATACTTTGAAATTTTGCAGGGCTGTTTGGGGATTCGATTGTGCTTTTGATGTTTATTGTAGTTGTGATTAGGATTAAAATTATGTTTAAGTTTTGATTTAGTATTGATTGGAATTAGTTGTCGAATTTGTATACGTAGTTGGTATATGATTGGTGAATTGCGGACTGTGTCCAGGAGATTTAAATAAGATGAGTTGTGAATTTTTTTCTTATGATGATTTTAGGATTAATCGCGAACAGCCTACAAAGGGCTGATTGATGGGCATTCGGTGAGAGGTTTTTCAAGGAACAATCTGCTGTGCTCTGGAAATTTTCAGAATTGTTCGAAATTGAATTCACACTTATTTTGCAATAAGTGTGAGGAGAGGCTGTTTTGAATATTTCCGAGCCGCGAAGAATTCGAAAAGGGAGTTTAAATGCAATCATATATCTTCAATTCTTAGATAATATGACTGCATTTCGTCTTTCGCTGTTGAAAATATATTTTGGATTATTTGCAGCCCTTCTCAAGCTACAAATTGTTCAAGGGAGAACAACAATTCAAGTGTGAAGAGGGAAGTCATCGATAATACCAAAATAATTTTTGAAAAAAATAAATCTGGTTGCACAAGACATGAATCAGGGAAATTTTTTATTCCCTTCTCAATTATTTATGCCGGCTTATTTATTGATTGCTAATTTGTTGGGATTGTAGAATAATTACTTCTTAGGTAAATTAGTAGTTGTAATCTAGTTGATTTAGGATAATTTTCAGATTATAGTGTAAAAGCAGTTGTACATGTTTTAGCTTACTGTTACTTAATTGTCTTAGTTCATCCTTGATCCCAACTGTACCATTTTAGGCTAGTTCAGTTGGCTTTAGTTGAGATAGAAGTATAATTAGTTAGCTTAACTAGTTAGATTATTCAAACTATGTATTTTTAATTAGTTGTTCGCTGTTGTTTTTAGCCTTAAAATGTTGCTGATTAGTTAGGATTAGAATTAGATTGGTTTGCAGTCAATTTGTTCGGAATTTGTTTGAGTGTTCTTCTTAATTGTTAATTAGCTTTGTAGTCTTGATAACTGGTCTAGTTTAACTGCCATTAAAACAATCTCCTAGTATAGTTGCGTAATTTATAGCTTAGTTATAGTGTGTTAGGTTAGGTTAATAGTTTGTAATTTAGGCAGTATGTTCACTTCTGCTGCTCCTTGCCTTCTCCTGCTGCATGTTTAGTTGATTGCAATAGATTTCTAAGATAGATCATATCTGCATTAGTTTAGTTTAGTAGGCTGTAGTTTAAATTTTATCGGAATATTAGTTTCTCACTACAAAAAAACTAACCTTTTTGTAACGGAAATTAGGAACAGAATTTTTTTTGTCCTTATTAGTAACGGAATTAAGGACTGAATTAGAAAATTGCTCATCTTTTACCAATTGGCAACGGAATTTAAGAATGGAATAAATTCGTGCTTAATAGAGATGAAAAATAGGGACATAAAAAAATCCATCCTAATTATAGACGGGAATTAGGAAGGGACAAAAAAAATCTTCCCCATTAGAGACCGAAATTAGGGATAAAAATAATTCTATCACAGATCGAAACATAAATTAAAGACAATGTTATTTCATTAGTAATCAGCAACAAAATAAATAACAAATTTAATTCCATCCCAAATTAAGAACGGACAAAAATTGTTTTCATCCTTAAATAAAAATTAATAAATAATTTATTTATTAAAAGAAATAATAAAAATTATTTTTTTTTACCCTAATTTTTTACTATCAACTAGATTTTTCCAAAGTGTATAAAAATAATTAAAATAGTAATAAATTTTATAAATAATTAAATTAATTATCAAACATCAAAAACTAATATAATTTAAATTAAATATAATTATATAATAAAATTTTATAAAATCTAAAATATGAATTATTAATAAAAAAATTTTTATTAGTATTACTATTATTTAATTTCAGAAAAAAAAATTAATAATATATAATAATATTTGTGGCATCTTACCCTAATCGCTTATATTACACATTCATAACCGCAAGCAACACACAGGTCTTCCTCTATCTCTTTTTTCTTCCCCAAATCTCTCTTTCTTCCTTCTCCATTTCTTTCACTTTCCTTCTTCTTTACCCACCAGCCAAATGTTCTATCGTTGGTCCCAACTTCCCACCAAGTTAGTATATTATTTTTTAAAAAATAAAAAATAAAAAATACAAAACCCAGGTTCGAACCATAAACCAACCAATTTGATAATCTGGTTTTGGTTTTGGTTTTGGTTCGACGCCTCCTGTTCGAAATCGATTAAGCAACAGCTCTACCTCGCATAATACCTCTGAAATCCTCGCTAGCCACATCAACCGCTTGCCGCCTCTCACCGTAGACCTAAAAAATCACCGTGTTTCTTTCTCTCATTCTCTCATTTTTTTCTACTGGTACAATATCGATTTGGGTACCGATTTTTCTTTGTGTTGTATTTCTTAGAGAGATGTTGTGTTCTGTGATTTTATATTGTGTTTCTTAGAAAGATGTTGACACTGCGTTGGTTGTACTCTCTCATAGAAGACTAATAAGCGAAATTGTTTGTTTCTTTAACAAGGTTTGAAATATTACCTGTTGATGTTGTATAACTTTGTAATGCAATGTGAATGGATAGTTAAATGTATTTATTAGAAAAAAAAATGATGTATATTATATTACAAAGAATTTTATTTTGCTTATTGTTCTTCATATTGTTGTTCTATCTTGATTCATTCAAGTGATATTTTTATTTGTTTGTTGACCGTAAATTTTATTTTCAAAAGGAATCTGCAGTGCTATTTTCATTATAATTGTAGCTATATTATATTACAAACAAGTACTAAAGTATTATGCATACCTTCGGACAACTGGAAATGGAACTTAATTGTAAACTCATGGGTATATAAAGGTATGCCAATCTCTGTACTTATTACTAAATAATGCCATATGCTTATGAGACTGGTTTTATATATGCTGAGTGAATTGATTGCTTCTCAGCCCACATTTTTTGGTGTTCTATTTTGATTTTGATGTTTTTTTTTTATATATCTTGTATTTGAATGGTAACTTCAATAAAATATTTTGTAAAATAAAGTAATAATACTATTTTATGTCATAAATATATAGATATATATATGTGCAGTTTTCAGAATTGCCCGGGAAAAGACAAATGTGAAATTCTGCTCCACCTGTAGCATTCTATCATGTTTTCAATTTGTTGTTGGGGTTTCCTGCATTAGTGATTACTTTTGTTTACAACAATTGCATGGAGATGGAGTTGGTACTCACATTCATTCTTATGGTTGTATTCAATTATGTTGTGTTCTGTCCTTTTTATTGAATTGAATTAATGGATGGATATTTGTGGATTCATCGAATTACATCCCAATTTTGCATTTATGAGTTACTAGAAATGAATGGAATGGGAACTTCTTGTGTCTTCACTTCTCGAAAACCAAGAACATGGTAATTCATTGCGACTACATTTCTTTATGTGATCACAAAGACATCTATCATGATCTCTATATGCATTATCGGGCCTTCAATCTCTATGTTAAGATGTTATCATGTTGCCATTATTTTTTAAGTTTTATTTACAGTGAACTATCAATGTTGCCACCAATGCTCTGCCTTGTGCTATGCAGTTCCCCACCATCATCTATCAGAAGATAGTCACCCTACACTAGGACAGTACCTACATCGCTCCACCAGCAGCAAGTCGAAGGTTTGTCACCACTACACACTCTATTTCTGTCTTGTGTTAGGATTATTGTGTTAGGATTATGGAACTTACTTTGTTAAGTAGCATGTTCATTTTTCTCAATGCATATGAAAATTATTTAAAGGTATGCCATATTAATGTTTTATGACTATCAATCTTTACTATAACTTTTTTTTATATTCATTGCTTTCAGGAAGGTATGACTGCTATCGAGGAAGGAATGTCTCAGCTCGGTGATACAGAATATAGCCGCAATGAGGCACTTCTTTCCTTGGTCCACCGGGATAAAAAGAAAAGAATTTATGGGCTTGGATCACTTGCAGCAGCGGTGCCAATAGAGAAGTTTTTCAATTCCAGCGACGCGCATACCCCGAGTGGTCCGAGTAACGCCCAACATTTGGAGAATCTCGAGAAAAATCACATGACCATCATTGAGCAGCTCAAGATGATTAATGCTCGCTTGGACAAGCGCAACGATGATGGGGACTCTAGTGCGCTCCGGTTTGTTGACATGTATGTTTTCTGTACGATTAATATTTAGTATTGATGATATTATGACTGGATTATATGTTTTAGACCATACGTGATGTTGGAATATTTCAAATTCTATAATTGAAACTTTTTTTTTTAGATATTTTGGACGTTTATTATGGATTTTTAGTTGATTCAGTATGGTTGTTTGATTGTGGTTTGAAATTTCATTTCGTACTTGTGTACAGGTTGTAGTACGGTTGTTCGATTGTGATTTAAAATTTGATTTCATATTCGTGTATTGGTTGGAAAATACATCGGTAAATTGTGCAATGAAAAATTGTGTAAAATTAGGGATGGAATTTGCGACGAATTTTGTCCATCCTAAAATCTATTTCCATCCCTAAATTAAGGACGGAAATAGCGACGAATGTTTTCGTCACTATTTTGGGCACCAAATTTGCAGTTTGTGTAGTAATGGAAATTTGTCCCTAATTTCATTCTTAATTTTGTCTTTAATTTTGTCCTTAAATTATGGACGGAATTCGCGACGGAAAATTTCCGTCATTGACTTTATGACCACATTTTGGTTTAGGTTAGGCATGGAAAATTTCGTCCCTAATTTTGTCTTTAATTTTGTTCCTTGTTCCGTATCTAATTTAGAGACAGAATTAGGAACAATTAGTGTTAACTACAAGAACTTTACAGAGGGAATTTATTTCGTTTCTAATTCCGTCTCTAATGTCATTAGTAACGAAAAAATAGATTTAAGAACGGAATTTTTCCATCTTTAAAATGCTATTTTCTTGTAGTGTTCTGCTATTGATCCTGTGTTTAGTTCGACTAATTTCTTCTGTTGTACTTGTGATTAATTTTCATTCTGTTGCATATAATTGTTTGGTTAGCTCGTTGTACATGTTGTGTAATTAAATTTTTTATTAGATTAAATTAAGTCTAATGTTGTGTATTGCATTGTATAAGAATGCTAGTTGGACAAGTTAGCAGCAGT